GATGGATGGATGGATGTTGGATGGATGGATGGATGGGTGGATGGATGGATGGGTGGGTGGATGGGTGGATGGATGGATGGATGTTGGATGGATGGATGTTGGATGTTGGATGGACGGACGGATGGACGTGGATGGATCCCCTGATGGTGTCACCCCCAGCCGGGGGGCCGCTGCCGGACAAGCTGCAGCAGGCGGAGCTGCCGGTGGTGGACCACGAGCACTGCACCCAACTCGACTGGTGGGGGCCCCTGGCCATCCGCGACACCATGATCTGTGCCGGCGGCGCCGAGAAGTCCGGATGCAATGTGGGTACCTGCATGGGATGGGATGGGATGGGATGGATGGGATGGGATGGGATGGGATGGCATGGGATGGGATAGGATGGGATGGGATAGGATGGCACAGCATGGAATGGCATGGCGAGGTGTGGGGGACAGCCCGGGACCCCCCTGGTGCTGATCTCACCCTCTGCACCCCAGGGCGACTCGGGGGGCCCCCTGAACTGCCAGGCTGAGGATGGCACGTGGGAGGTCCATGGCATCGCCAGCTTCGTGTCTTCCCTGGGCTGCAACGCCGAGAAAAAGCCCACGGTGTTCACCCGAGTGTCCGCCTTCGAGGACTGGATCGCACAGGTGGGCACGGGGGCACCTGCCAGGGACTGGGCTGCCAGGGGGACAGGGAACTGGGATGGCAGAATGCCAGGGAATTGGGATAGCAGGGTGTGGGAGTGCCAGGGAACTGGGATACCAGGGTACCAGGGTGCTCCAGCACTGGAGTGCTTGGGCATCATGGAGCTGGGGACAAAGAGCTCTGGGGTGCCGGGGTACCAGGGCTGTGGGGACCAGGGGAGGGTCAGGGTACCGTGGTACCAGGGCCATGGGGTGCCAGAGTACCAGGGTACTGGGTTCTGGGGGGCCAGGGAACTGGGGTGCCAGGGTGCCATGGTGTCAGTGTGCCAGGATTCTGGGATGCTGGGATGGGCACTGGGGGTGCCAAGGCAAGGGGTACCAGGTTATCGGGGTGCCAGGGTGCTGGGTGCCATAGTGCTGGAGGGTTGGGGTGCCAGGGTGTTGGGGTGTCTGGGTGTTGAGGTGTCTGGGTGTTGGGGTGCCAGGGTGCCAGGGTGTCAGGGTACAGGGATGCCAGGGTGTTGGGGTATTGGGGTGCCAGGGTGTTAGAGTGTTGGGATAAAAGGGTGTTGGGGTACAGAGGTGCCAGAGTGTTGGGGTATCAGGGTGTTGGGATGCCAGGGTGTCGAGGTGCAGAGGTGCCAAGGTGTTGGAGTATTGGGGTGTCAGGGTGTTGGGATATTGGGGTGTTGGGGTGTCAGGGTGCCGGTGTGTCGGGGTATGAGGATTTTGGGGTGTCAGGGTATCAGGGTGTTGGGGTATCAGGGTACAGGGGTGCCAGTGTGTCAGGGTACAGGGGTGCCAGGGTGGTGTTGGGTTCCCCACCCTGAGCAGCCTCTCCCTTGCAGACCATAAGTGACAACTGAGCGTGGCAGCGTCATCGTCACTGACCCCCCGACCTGGCACCGGGCAAATAAACCACAACCATTACACCCTGCACCGCCTGTCCTGTGCTGGGCGGGCACTGCTGGCAGGGGATGGCACTGGGAACACCCAGAGGTGCCCGGATACCTCGGGGATGGGCACTCACGGACACCCAGACAGAGTGGAAAGAGACACTGAGAGGTGCCCAGACACCACAGGGGTGGGCACCCAGGTGCCACAGGGGTGGTTTAACCTACACGGTCACGATGTCACTGAGATGGGCACCCAGAGACACCCAGACACCAAAGGGATGGGTACCCAGGTGCCACAGGGATGGTTTAACCTACACAGCCACAATGCCACAGGGATGGGCACCCTCAGACACCCGGACACCACAGGGATGGTTTACCCTGTGCAGCCCAGATGCCACAGGGATGGGCAGCCAGAGACACCATGGTGTCACAGGGATGGGTACCCAGATGCCGTGGGGATGGTTTAACCTGCACAACCAAGATGCCACGGGGATGGGCATCCTCAGACACACAGACACCGTGGGGATAGACACTGAGGGGTGCCCAGACACCACAGGGTTGGGCACCGAGGTGCCACAGGGGTGGTTTAACCTGCACAATCACGACACCACAGGGATGGGCACCCTCAGACACACAGATATCACAGGGATGGTTTACCCTGTGCAGCCCTGATGCCACAGGGATGGGCACCCAGAGACACCCAGACACCACAGGGGTGGGCACCTACAGGTACCCAGATGCCACAGGAATGGGCACCCTCAGACACACAGACACCACAGGGACAAGCACTCCGAGGTGTCCTGAAGCCACGGGCACGGCCACCCTGGTGCCAGAGGCACGCCAGGACACGCGGATGCCTCGGCCGTGGGTGCCCTGAGGACACAGGGACGGGCCTCCCCCACGTGCCCCGACGCCACGGTGATGGGCATCGGTGACGTCCTCTCCCCCCCCGGGGTTGTGCCCCTCCCCGAGGTGCCCCCAGGCCCCGGTGTGGCCCCCTCGGGTGCCCCCGGGCCGGGTGCCCGTGCCCGTGTCCCTCCCGTCGCTCCGCAACCGCCACCACCGGCGCGTGACCGAGAACAAAGAGCCCTTTGAGCGGCAACCCCGCCGTGACCGGCACCCCAGGGACCCCCACCCTGCCCAGCACCCCAGGGACCCCCCACGGGGCACCCAGGGACCCCCAACCCCCCCCAGCATTCCGGGACCTCCAGGTGGGGCACCTCAGATCTCCCCCACCTTGCTCAGCACCCCGGGACCCCCTGATGGGGCACCCCAGGGCCCCAAACCTCTCCCAGCATTCCGGAACTCCCCCATGGGGCACCCCGTGGACCCCCAACCCCGCCTAGGACCCCGGGACCCCCTGACAGGGCAACCCAGGGACCCCCAACCTCTCCCAGCATTCTGGAACTCCCCCATGGGGCACCCCGTGGACCCCCAACCCCGCCCAGCACCCCGGGACCCCCTGACAGGGCAACCCAGGGACCCCCAACCCCGCCCAGCACCCCGGGACTCCCCAACCCCCCCCAGCATTCCGGGACTCCCCGATGGGGCACCTCAAATCTCCCCCACCCTGCTCAGCACCCCGGGACCCCCTGATGGGGCACCCCAGGGCCCCGAACCTCTCCCAGCATTCCGGGACCTCCCCACAGGGCACCCCGGGACCTGCAATGCCACCCAGCACCCCAGGGCCCCCCCACGGGGCACCCCATGGCCCCCCACCCTGCTCAGCATGCCGGGACCCCCTGACAGGGCACCCTGGGGTCCCCCCCCCGCCGGGTGGCCGTGGGTGCCGCAGCACCCCCCGATTCCCGGCGGGATCCGGGTGGAAAATTCCTGCCCGGGGCTGTATAAGTTTATGGGCCCCTTGTCACAGTGTCCCCGCGGACCTTTGTCCCCCGGCGGTGGCCCCGGTGCCCGCCCCGGCCCCCCCGGGCCTCCCCCCCAGCCCCTCGGGCGCTCTCGTGCCCCTTCGCTCCGGGCAGGGGGAGCCGAGACCCCCCGACCTCGGGACACCCTTTGCACGGGCTGGGGCCACCCAGCAGAGCCCCGATGGGTGACACCCAGCACGGGGGTCGGGAGTGGGACAGGGGTGACACCCAGCACGGGGGTCGGGAGTGGGACAGGGGTGACACCCAGCACGGGGGACACCAGCTGTGACCCCCTCGGTGCCACCAGTGGGACTGGTGATGGGCCGGCACTGGGTGGTGATGCCTGCTGGGTGAGGACACCCCTGGGTGGCAGCAGGGGCAGGGGCAGGGGTGTGGCAGTGCCAGGGGGCTGGTGTGGGTGCCATGGCACTGATGTGGGTGTCACAGGATTGGTGTGGGTGCTGTGAGCCTGCTGTGGGTCCCATGAGCGTGGCACGGGTGCTGTGGGACTGATACGGGTGGTACAGACCTGGCACATGTCCTGTGAGCGTGGCAGGGGTGGTGAGAGCCTGGCACGGGTGCTGGAGTGTGGGGTGGGTGTGTGAGTGTGGGATGGGTGCTGTGGGCATGGGATGGGTGCCCTGAGTGTGGGATTGGTGCTGTGGGCATGGGATGGGTGTTGGAGTGTGCGATGGGTGTGTGAGACTGCCCTGGGTGATACAAAGCATGATGTGGGTGCTGTGAGCCTGGTATGGGTGCTGTGAGCTGAATGTGGGTGCTGTGAGCTGGATATGGGTGCTGTGAGCTGGATGTGAGTGCTGTGAGCGTGACGTGGGTGGTGCAATCCTGGGATGGGCTGTGCGAGCCCAGCCACGAGTGTGGGGTGGGTGCTGGAGTGTGGGATGGGTGCCCTGGGTGTGGGGTGGGTGCTGGAGTGTGGGATGGGTGCCCTGGGTGTGGGATGGGTGCTGGAGTGTGGGATGGGTGCCCTGGGTGTGGGATGGGTGCCCTGGGTGTGGGATGGGTGCTGGAGTGTGGGATGGGTGCCCTGGGTGTGGGATGGGTGCCCT